GTAATACTTTTAGCAAAAAAACAAACAAACAAACAAACAAACAAAACTTGATGCCCATGTTCCACCTTAAGCAAATGGATTAGAATCACTGGAGATGTGGCCCAGGCATCAGTATTTTAAAGAGGTCCCAAAGTGAGTCTCCGGGGACTCCAGGACAGAGAACCATTAAGCTTCTAGGTTTAGAATGTCATGTTATAACTGGGTGAAGAGAGGGTGAAATGGGTAAAGGATATCAAATGTATGATGACAAAAAGAAACTAGACTTTGGGTGGTGAGTATCTATTCTAAGAAAAGGGTAATATGCTAATTAGACCAGACATCTCCCAGACATCCATCTGGATGTCCTTCTGGACAAAACCACGGTGGCAGGGGCTGAGGCAGAGGCAGTTAGGGGCGATCAGGCCGGCAGGGGAGAGCAGTTAGGGGCGATCAGGCCGGCATACGGGCATATCAGCTGGTTAAGGGTGACCAGGCAGGCAGGGGAGCAGTTAGGGGTGATTAGGCTGGCAGGCAAAGGTGGTTAGGGGCTATCAGGCAGGCAGGCAGAGTAGTTAGGGGTGATCAGGCAGGCAGGCAGGTGAGCGGTTAGGAGCCAGCGGTTCCGGATTGCGAGAGGAATGTCCAACTGCCAGTTTAGGGATCAGGGCTAAACCAGCAGTTGGACATCCCCCGAGGGGTCCTGGATTGAAGGGTGCAGGCCAGGCTGAGGACACCCTCCCTGTGCATGAATTTTGTGTACCAGGCCTCTAGTCCTATCTAATAATAGATAATTATCAGGACGAGACAATTTTCTTAAGTGAAGTCATAACTGGAACTTAATGCAATGTCATTTGTATTAATTTGACAAGTTCCTAAATGCTATTTTATTGGCTTGCAACTATTGCTCCAAAACCTTCTAAGACATTTTGTTTTATTTTTCTCATTAAGAAGCTACCAAAGAATGTTATTAGACTTAGGTCAGACAGTAATTGGGATGAGTGTCCTTATTTAGATAGATCACCTTTGGAATAGCCACAGCCACAATGAAATGTAGGGTTGGATGTTTCTTTTATCATATTCTTCCAGAAAAATTGTTCTTTCTAAGAATACTCTAACAATGATATATACTTATCAAATCTTGAAACATGTTATTTTTTAAAAAATTGTATGCTTATATGTCCAGGTGGATTGTAATATTGCTGTAATATTGTCTTGTATGTCATTGCATAGTGGGCATGTATAATATTAATTATATAGCTTCCCCCCAACTTTTCTTTTTAGACCAGATTCCCTCCATTGATTACCTAACACACAAAAGAATAGTTCACATACTTTGAAGTTGAGAAGCGGCAGAAACAGAGAGTATGTCAGCAAATGGCCTAATGCCTGTCAGCCAGGGAGACCAGCACTGCAAAGCAGGTGACTAACAGCTATTTGCCATCCTGGCTTCCTACGGTCTTTTCAAAATGCAGGTCTTGTTATGGCAAAATGCTGCTATAATTCTCATGGCTGTTTGAAAATCAAACCCTTCATGTGGCTTGACTGGCCGACAGGTGCTCCCCGCTATCCAGTGTCCCTCGCTCCATGTCCAGTCTGCTCTTCATGCCCCACTGTTCATTTCCTAGTACTTGCATTCCCTCATTCTCTGAAAGAGTTCACTTCCCATTCTCCTAGTGACTTCCCACTCCTCTTTTTATCATCACTTTCTCAGATAATATAATCTCCAAAAAGCAACTTTCTTTCTTTAGTCCAAATTATCTCATTATATGGTTTTATGGCATCCTATATAATAAAAGGCTAATTTACAAATTGTCCCCACGACCAGGAGTTTGACCAGGAGTTTGACCAGGGGGCGGGGCTGGCCGGCCAACTGCCCGCGGCCCCTCCCCACAGCTGGCCCCGCCCCTCAACCCCCTCACCCCCCCTATTGGGGGCAGGGCTGGCTGGCCAACCTTCTGCTTCCCCTCCCCCCTGCCAACCCGATCAGCCCTAATTGGGGTGGGCTGGCCAGACCCCACCTGTGCACGAATTGCACTGGGCCTCTAGTACTATAGTATCTACAGATACTGAATTATAATTGGTACACCTGAAACTTATGTTATTAACCAATGTTACCTCATTAAGATGATATTTTTCTCTTTCTTTCTTAAATTTTTAATCAAGATATAATTTACATGTAACATTGAATTAGTTTTAGGGGTACAACTTAATGATTTGATATATGTATACAGGGTGGGGCAAAAGTAGGTTTACAATTGTTCATATGGAAAATAATACAATAATTAAGAAATAATAATACAAGAATAAACTGTTTCCCATATTCTTAATTGAATGCAAATATACCCAATATACTCTATATATTTACCACAATGAATTCTGTTAACATCCATCACTACACATGATTATATTTAAAAAACATACATTTATATTTTTCTAAATCCACAGTGCAGAGAACTAGGAAAAGTATGGGAAAGTACAACTTTAAAAAGTGCTCTGAAATCCCATTACTCCTTCATGTGTTTATCATTTGAGTCATTTTTCTATGTATATGAAATAACATGCAAAATATGCAAAAATTATACATTTTAGAACTGGAAGGTAGCCTTAGAAGTTAATTAGTATAAGTCCCTCATTTTATAGATGAAGAAATTAAGGCCAAGAGACTTCCAAATTCAAGTGACTCAGGTAGTTAGTTCATTAGGAGTCAGGATTAGAATCTAGGTTTTCCTTCATTTTTCTTGCAAAACAGAATTTGTACAAAAATTGGAATCTCGCCGAAACCGGTTTGGCTCAGTGGATAGAGCGTCGGCCTGCGGACTGAAAGGTCCCGGGTTGAATTCATATGGTTCTTGACTTTTTCCATATGACTTATTTTGCATAGCATGATATTCCCAAGATTCATCCATGTTGTCAGGAATGGCGGTATTTCATCTTTTCTTGTGACTGAGTAGTATTCCATTGTATAAATGTACAACAGCTTCTTTATCAAATCATCTCTCGAAGGACATTTCCGTTGTTTCCTTATCTTCGCCACCGTGAATAATGCTGCACTGAACATGGAGTACATATATCTTTTAGAATAAATTAAGTTTTTAGATACCCAGAAGAGGGGTTGCTGGATCATAGGATAACTCTATTCTTAGTTTTTTTGGGAACGTCCATAGTGTTTTCCATAGTAGCTGTACCAGTTTACATTCCTTCTAGCAGTGAATAAGGATATCTTTTTTTAAAAAATATATATATATTATTGATTTTTTACAGAGAGGAAGGGAGAGGGATAGAGAGTTAGAAACACTCATGAGAGAGAAACATCAATCAGCTGCCTCCTGCACATCCCCTATTCCTGCACATCCCGCATCCAAGGTACATGCCCTTGACTGGAATCGAACCCAGGACCCTTCAGTCCCCAGGCCAATGCACTATCCACTTAGCCAAACCAGTTAGGACATGTAGGAGAGTACTTTAAAAGGGAATATATGATTTAAGTGACTAACAATGTTTTAAAGTGTTCCTTTAAAATTTATTAAGGAATAAGACAAGAACCCTAACTGGTTTGGCTCAGTGGATAGAGTGTGAGCCTTCGGACTGAAGCGTCCTGGGTTTGATTCCAGTCAAGGGCACATGACGGAGTTTTGGGCTCAATCCCCAGTAGGGGGCGTGCAGGAGACAGCTGATCAATGGTTCTCATCATTGACATTTCTATCTCTCTCCTTTGCCCTTCCTCTCTGAAATCAATAAAAATATATTTTTTTAAAAAAGAATAAGACAAGAATAGCTTGAAAATCAGACAATATTGCACAAAATTACCAGAATATATAACATTTTTACGTACTCCCTCCCTTCTAATTTTTACCCTTTATTTTACATAATGTAATTATAGTATACTCAGTTTTGTATTACAGTTACTTTCTTGTTTTAAAAAATATATTATTTTATTGATTTCAGAGAGGAAGGGAGAGGGAGAGAGAGATGGAAACATCAATGATGAGAATCATCGCTCAGCTGCCTCCTGCACACCCCCACTAGGCATCAAGCCCACAACCCCGACATGTGCCCTTGACCAGAACCAAACCCGGACCCTTCAGTCCACAGGCCCACGCTCTATCCACTGAATCAAACCAGCTAGAATATAAATTAATGTAATTTTTTTAAAGCGGGCGTTTTGTGCATACTCTGATCTACCAATTATAGTTCCAATAATTTAACTTAAGGAAATAAGGAAAGATGTGCAAGGATGTTCACAGCAACATGGGTTATAAAAGGGAAAAATAAAACAGAAAACAACTTAAGTATCCAATAATAGGTTAAATTATGATACAGGTGTACAACTGAACACAAAGCCCACTTAGTACGAATAATGTTGTATATTATTTAATGACATTAAAAAACACATCATGCGTATGTGGTGAGCCCACCATTCAACCTCACAACAAACTTTGAAAATAGGTGCATTATTCAACTTTTACATATGAAGAGGTTTGCAATATACACAATTGAACTTGCCCAAGGTCACAAAATTCAGTCATGAAGCCAGGATTCAAAAGGAGGCCATCTGAACCTCGAGCCCGCGAGCCTTCCTACGCCCACACGGCCTCCTGGCTTTGGTGCAGAACGGGGATACCACCATCTACCTCCCAGGGTTACCGTGAGACTTAAATGAAATAATAAGCACAAAGCTCCAGGAACACAGTGGACATCCAATACTCGGAAGCTACTAAACAACTCAAGGTCACACCATCCGTGGTGAAACCAGGATTTAAAGCGAGCTCGGTCTGAATCTTGTAATTCCCGGGAGGGCGGAGGAACTGAAAACCTTTTCTTGGCTTCAACTCCTCAAGCAGAGTCAGTACGGACCTTCCCTCGGCCCCGTAAAGGGCGCCTCGGGGTCAGGGGACACACAACAGGCCTCTTCCAAAAGGAGGGGCGCCCGGAGTCGCTTTAGGAAGATTTAAACTCAGGCAGCTTTTCTCACCCGCCACACTCGCTACTTCCACGGACTCTGTGCCCGCCCCCGGAAGTGACGTGTTACGCACGCGCCGGAAGTGGGCTTGCGGACTGGGACCAGACGTCGCGGGCGCTGGTGGGCCCGGGACTCCGTGTGACGCCTTAGACAAGGCAGCTTCACGGCGTTAGGAGGCGTCCATTGCCATGACGGCCCAGGGCAGCCTGGTGGCCAACCGAGGCCGGCGCTTCAAGTGGGCCATTGAGCTGAGCGGGCCTGGAGGAGGCAGCAGGTGAGGAGCCTGGGCGGAGGGCCTTGCCCCCAGAACTGCCCCGGAGGCATGGAACCTGGACTGGATGGGTGGCACCAAGACGGCTCCGGGGCAGCTAGCGGCGGAAGCCGTGGAGGTTTTTGTGCCCAAAGGATGCGTAGTTCCGTCTTCCCAATAGGCAGGGCTCTGACGAACCTACAGGAGGGGTTGATGTAATCTGGGTAGGTGCACCTGAAGATCTTAACTCCTATGGGTAGCAGAACAGGAAATGTGGGAGTCCACAGCTTTAGTTTCTTTATTTCTTCTTCTTTAAAAACATATTTTTAATGATTCTAGAGAAGAAGGGAGAGGGATAGAGAGAAACACCAATGATGAGAGAGAATCATTGATTGGCTGCCTCCTGCAGGCCCCCTACTTGGGATCAAGCCCACAACTCCTGGCCTGTGCCCTTGACCCGAATCCAGCCGTGACCTTCTGGTTCATAGGTCAACGCTCAGCCACTGAGCCATGCCCGCTGGGCGAGCAGCCTGTTTCTTGGTTTGCTTCTTTAGGGGCCGAAGTGACCGGGGCGGCGGCCAGGGCGACTCGCTGTACCCCGTTGGTTACTTGGACAAGCAAGTGCCGGATACCAGCGTGCAAGAGACGGACCGGATCCTGGTGGAGAAGGTACAGAGGTATAGATGTCGCCGTCGTTTGGGGGCTAGTCCTGGCCCACCCACCCGCTCTTCTCTCCCAGACAGCACATGAGTATCTTACTGTAGATGGGCCTTATCCTGAATGTTTTGGTAGCTCAACTGCTTGAGATGAGTGTGTTAACAGTAGTTTACATATCAGCTCCAAAAGTGCTTAAGAATTGGAAAAAGAAAAGACATTTAGAACCTAAGGCATAAGAAAGTAGGTTGAAAATTATTTATTGGTGGCAATGCCTTTCAGTTGAAGTCATCGTTTTGTCCTCTAATTTCCTTACACCACATAACCTGCCAGGATATTCTGTTGGCTTTATCTTCAAAATAGATTCAAAATCTTACTGCTTCTTATTACTTTCACCTATCGTCCTGGTCTAAGCCACTACCGTCCTTCACCCACATGTCTTCATTGTTGTGGGAGCGGTTCGTGCATTGTAGGGTGTTTAACAGAACCCCTGGCCTCTACCTATTAGATGCTAAAAGTGCCCTTCCCCAGTTGTGACAACCAGAATGTCTCCAACATTACCACATGTCTCCAGGGAGGTGAATCGCCCTTCTGTTGAGAACCACTGATTTTTAAAGAGCACAATCTGATGAGCTTTAATAGTGGTATACCACCTTGAAACCACGACTATCTTGAAAGAACATTTTCTTCTTCTCCAAAAGATTCCTTGTGCCCCTCTCTGCCACAGATTTTTAATTGGTCTCACTACTTCCCCCTGTAGTCTAGTCCCAGCACAGCAGCCAGTACTATGATCCTTTTAAAACGTGAGTCAGATCATTCCTATTAAAACTCTTCTGTAGCTCATTTCACTTATTGCAAAAGCAAAAGGCTTTGTAATGTTCTACCTAACTCTATATTGACTAAGCCCCTTGTAACATCTTTGACTTAATCTCCTATCACATTCCCTTGTATTTATTATTTTTTTTATTGATTTTTAGAGAGAGTAAGGGAGAGGGAGAGAAACATCGATGTGAAAGGGAAACATCAATAGGCTGCCTCTTCTACGCCTTCTACTGGGAATCAAGCCTGAAACCCAGGCCTGTGCCCTGACTGGGAATGGAACTGGCAACCTTTCAGTGCACCAGATGACACCCAACTGAGCCACACTGGCCAAAGCTAATTTTATTTTTTAATCCTCAACCAAGGATATGTTTTTATTGATTTTTAGAGAGAGAGAATAGGAGAGAGAGAGAGAGAAACAGAAACATCAATGGGAGAGAAAAACATTGATGAGCTGCCTCCTGTAGGCGCCCCAACCTGGGATCAAACCCGATTAACCTTTTGGTGTATGGGACAACTCTCCAACCAACTGAGCCACCTGTCCAGGGCTACCACTTTCCCCTCTGTTTACTGCAGTCTTGTCAGATTAGCCTCCTTGCTGCTCCTTAAATATGCCAGGCAAGTTCCCATCTAAGGATTTGTGTACTTGTTTTTCCCTCTGCTGGGATACTCTTCCCCAGCACCTTTATGGCTTGCTCTCTTATCAATGAAGCCTACCCTCATGGCACTCCCTATCCTGTTTTCCCACTTTACATTTCTCCGTGTCATTCATATACATGACACAGTTTACTTATTTTACTACCCATCTTTTCATTAATTTAAGCTCCAGGTTTTTGTCTCCTAGAAGCCTAGAACAGTGCCTGCACTTTCTTTCCCTCAGCCTTGCTATTCAATATTAAGCGATTTGTTTCATAAAATTCCAGTGATTTTTCACAACATGAAAATGACAGCTATTCTCAATTTTTTTGTTGATAAGTATCATTTTTCATCTTGGTATCAAATTGTAACATAATACATGATAGTTAAAGTATTAACATGGCTTAATTTTAAAGGTAGATTATCATAAAATAATTCTTTAGTTCTATTGTATGGATGATTTGATATTTAAGCTTACAGACAAATGATCTATGTAAATGACATATTGGGAAACTTTATTTACAAGTATGGGCATTTATTCTTTTAATGTGAGTAAACACAAATGGATAGTGTTATATTATTTTTATATAGCTAGATTTGCTTTGTTAATATTTTGCTTAGGATTTTTGCATTTATGTTTATGACTGATAGTGGTCTATAAACTTTTCTCATAATGTCCTTGTCAGGTTTTGGTATTCATGAGGTCCCATGTAATGAGTTGTAGAGTGTTCATTTTTATTTTCTAAGTTTGTATAAGATTGGCTTTATTTTTTCCTTAAATGTTTGAAATTTGCCAAGGAAAACCATCTGATGGGCTTAGTTATAGATTCAGTTTCTTAAAACAGTTATGGGATTAGTTATATTTCCAATTTCTTATACCATTTAGGTAAGTTGTATTTTTTTTTTAGGAATTGTACCATTTCCTAAAATTCATAGTTTGATCACTGTAATATTTGCAAAACCTATAGCGATGTCCCTTTTTCATTTCTGATGTTGAATATTTATCTTCCATCCTTTTTTCTTCATCAGGCTCACCAGTATGATGTTATTAATCTTTTTTAAAAAACAACCGTCGGCTTGATTTAACGACAATTTCACTAATTACTACTCATTATTTTCTTTCATTTGTTCTTTTTCTAACTTATTGAAATAGATGCTTACTTTATTTTTAGTGTTCTAATCTGTATTTAAAGCTATACATTTCTCAGAGTTCTAGCTATGTTCCACAGTTGTTAAAATGTATTTTGATCAGTTAAAAAATATTTATATTTTCCATTATAAATTCTTTTGATTCATGAATTATTTCAAGTACATTTGTTAATTTCAACTCATAATGGATTTTTGGTTATCTGTTATTGAATTCTAGCTTGATTGCATGGTAATCAAAGAACATGCTTTGTATAATTTGAGTTCTTTGAGTTACTGACACTTCCTTCATGGCTCAGCAAGTGGTCAGTTTTTGTAAATGTCCCATGTGTGTTTGAGAACAATGTGAATTCTGCAGCTGTTGGGAGCAATGCTTTATAAATGTCAGTTGGGTTCAGTTTGTTAATGTCTTTCAAATCTATATCTTGATTTGTCTGTTAGTTATTGATTGAGGTATGCTAATCTCTCACTATGTGGATTTATCTATTTTCTTTTTTTTTATTAAAATTTTTTTTTATTGATTTCAGAGAGGAAGGGAGAAGGAGAGATAGAAACATCGATGAGAGAATCATTGATCAGATGCACAAAATTGAAAATTGTGTTCATTTGACTTTTTGATTTCAGAGAGGAAGGGAGGAGAGATAGAAACATCGACGAGAGAATCATTAATCAGATGCACAAAATTGAAAATTGTGTTCATTTGATTTTAACAGCAGTGATACAATAAATGTGGGACTGAGGGTAGTGCTCAGAGGTTAAAATTGTGTCTTTGTTTTAGCGCTGTTGGGACATTTTGGGTCCCCCCCTCAAACAGATTCCCATGAACCTCTTCATCATGTACATGGCAGGCAATACTATCTCCATCTTTCCTACTATGATGGTGTGTATGATGGCTTGGCGACCCATTCAGGCACTTATGGCCATTTCAGCCAGTAAGTATTTTTGAACTAATAACCCTTATGAAAGTTTTTAGAATTAAAGGTAAATTCTTAGGCAAAACCCATATTGGAAATCTTTGCATGGCTCTTGGCTAGTAGCGGGGAGGGTGTGCAGGACGGTGATGGTAGTGGTGGTGACATGGAGGGAAAAACAGCTTATCATGGATTTTGTTCACTAGTTCTATTTGCTATTTTACTGTGGGCTGGTGTGTATTATTTATGTCTTAATATGTGCCTGATTCGTAATTTTTAAAAAAGTTGTTTTGGCACTTTGTTACTCCAACAGCTTTCAAGATGCTAGAAAGTTCAAGCCAGAAGTTCCTTCAGGGTTTGGTGTATCTCATTGGAAATCTCATGGGTTTGGCATTGGCTGTTTATAAGTGCCAGTCCATGGGACTATTGCCTACACATGCATCAGACTGGTTAGCCTTCATTGAACCTCCTGAGGTAAGGCAAAAGAAAAGTTAACTTTGGGGCTAGTTGTAACAGACAGTAAATAGCTGATCCATTTGATGTAAGGGATTAGAGTTGGTATTAGAGCGAATTTCCTTTTTAATCCTCCCGCAAGAGAGAATGAAAGGGGGGTGGGGAGGGGGGGCGTGGAGAAAGAGAGACAGAGAGAGAGAAAAACATTGATGTGAGAGAGACACATTGATAGGTTGCCTCCTGCAAGTGCCCCGACCTGGGCTAGGGATTGAACTTGCAACCCAGGTACGTGCCCTTGACTGGGAATTAAACCCTTGACCCTTCCATGTGTGGGGCTCATACTGTAATCACTGAGCAATGCCAGCCAGGGCTAGAGCCCATTTCTTAAGAAATAAGATCCATTAGAAGTCAGGAAGTTATTTTTTAAGGATAAAATAACTTGTGGTTAAAGTATTAAGTACTTGATTCAGGAAGTTATTTCAGTGCTCATTCCCACTCACCTATTCTTCTCGTTTCAGAGGATGGAGTTCAGTGGTGGTGGACTGCTTTTGTGAACCTGAGAAAGCACCTGGTGACCATGTATTTGGATCTCATTTACAACCTTCTTTACCCCCAGTGATGACTCCTCAGCATATTCACCCTTAACATTATCACTCGTGCTGAAAAGAACTGAAAGCACCCTTTTTTCCAGGGTGAGGAGACATCCTAGAAAGATAATGTATATATCACTACAAACACAAAGAAACTATGCCACAACCCTTGACTGAAAATAATGTAGAAAACTTTATTTATGTTTTCAGTATAGAGCAAAACAACAAATAAAACCGTAACTATGTAAACAAAAGAATAGTTGCTGCTAAACCAAGAACCACAGCAGCATCTCCTTTCAATAAATTAAATGGTCAAGAACAGTGCTTTAAAAAAATTATATAGGTTTTCCTTAATATTTCACTTCTATTTAACATAAGCTGGGACATAAAACTTCTGTTGGAGACACTTGTGGAAGATGTGAGAAACTAATGCTGGATTCTGATTATACATGATGAAAAGAAAAATAAACCAGACAAAAAGCACATAAATATAATTACAGTAAATTGCTACTTTAATATCCACAATGGATTTTTAATACATTTAGGGGGAATGAGGATTGGAGGAATCTGGGGCCACAGGAATCTGAGGCAATGGAAGGTACAAAGTAGGCATCTTTCCCCTGCCAGGAGGAACCTGGTACCTGTCAAGCAGATGCTGCAGTTCAAACTTCAGCTTTTAAGAAAGATATAGAAGGCAGAGGGCCAGTAATTGGAAAATGTATGTTATCATAACCTGCCCTGGTAAAGTCATAGCTAAGACTTAAAAGTTGGATCTTATTCAAAAGGCAGGAGGAGGTCTTTTCTTTCTCTTCCTTCTTGAAACACAAAACCCCTTCCCCTAAGGTGCATTCTCATTAAGTTTTCCGTATTGCTTTATTTGCAGTGATTAAAAGAGACAAGATACTTTGTAGACAAACAACATAAGCAACACAGAGACATGAAATGCTCTAGATAGAGATGAGTTTAAATCTGGCCTAATAACCATTTTCCCACGTAACAATGATTTTGTATTTAGGGGCTGAAGTAGTGGCTATATTAATAGCCATGAATTCCCTTATCCCTTTAAAAGATTCTTATAGAGCTCTAACCACAAAATGCTTTTAAAACTAACCTTAATTCCACCAATATTTTTTCCTATATGGAAATACATATAAATATCACTTTGGCCAGAAGGTATGTGTAAATGTAGAGGAAGTCTATCTTATACTTTTAGAGCATGGATCTTTAATATTTTGAATCCTGGGGAACCTGTCCTACTGCTGGACTCAACTAAACAATGGAGTGTTGCAATGGAAGCAGTAAATAATGCTTCTATCCTCTGTAGGAAGGAGCAGAATAAAAGACAAAAATTCTGTCTGCTTTGCTACCATGACTGGGCCTGAAGGTTGAAAGAAAAGTAAAAGGAATACATTGAAATGACTCAATTTCTTAAGTCATATTGAAGGGTTTTCTCTGTAAAGGTCAAATGAATAGTCTGCTGGTACCTAGGTCAGCTTGCTCCATATCCTAATGGGTAATCAAAAAAGTGCCACTATTGATCAGTAAAGTGAAATTCTAAAGCCACAAATATAGGCAAATAGTTTTTCTAAATAACCTATCATATATTTGAAATTACCATTTAGTCACACAGAATAATTTCATTATGCTTGGAAAACAGGTGTTTTTGTGATCAATAAATTAGCAAATAAGCTAAGCTTGCATAAGTATTTCCATAACATACTTAAAGTTCTAAAGCAAAACTGAAATAGCAGAAGACTATTGGCTTGGACAGTCTCCTAGTTTAGAGCCAAGTTTCTGCAGTCAGAATGAAGAATTAAAATGGAAAGGAAAATGGGCATACTTGGCATTTAGGTGAGTGCCTCAAGTCTTCACTATGGCTTTAGAAATGAGTCCACAGGTTTCTTAGCGAAAGAAGTTACTTGAATAGGCCAATGCCAATTGTATGCCACCTTAGTGAAGTAGGTAAGCGAGTAGCAGCATCTCAATAACTTTGGCACTACTGAAGAAATACGGCTCTAGAACTTCGAATTCCATTGCTGGATTTCCCCTTGAAAAGATAGAAACCTTTTGGGAAAGAATTTTAGCCAGGCTTCCTAGTGTTTCTTCCTATGATTTTTGACCTGTGTCTACTAACCCAGAGGACATAAAAGAGAGAAGGAAAGGTGAACCTATTGGTCAGTGTACATTATATTTCTTAGAAAACAGCTTGTATGTTTTGCCCATGTCACACAGATAACCAGATTATATTTCAGTAAATCTTAATAGCTATCTTAGAATTTCCTTAAATTGGCCATTTGAAAAGTACCTGAAAGAAATAATTTTTACTCCACTGTTTAAAAATTTCCATGTTAACACTGCCTACATTACAGTCTTAATCACAGAGTGGGGTTTGAAAACCAACAGCTGAAATATACAACAACCCAGTATGTGTACATACACTACTTTTGGGGGAAATCTTGTTTTGGAGGACGAAGTAGAAGCTGCAGCCATATTTCAGATTTTGTATATCAGTACCCTAATATAAAATTAGAGTCCTGCAGAGCAGTGGATACACTCAAGAAAATTAGCTTAAAAAGGTTTTCATCTTGGTTTGCCATAGGTTATCTTCACTAGGATGTTAGGTCCCCATACACTTGGCCATGAATGCCTTAGAATGATGACGTTTTTTCTCTGTTGAACCATGACTTCCGAGACTCAATCTTTAATGCTGGATATGTACTTGCTTTTTGTCTTCAGTTGAATTTCTGGTATGCCTTCTGACAACTCATTTTATTGGTTAGCTTGTTAATTCTAACTTGCCTTCAACTGGTACAGACATGGCTTTAGTAATTGACCATTTTTCTAATGTTGAGGGAATATTTGCTTCTGTAAGGGGGGCAGATCATATGAGAGCAAAAAGCAGAACTGTTGTTATGTTTTTGCACAAGTACTTGAGGCTCAGCTTGTCAAGAATTCATTCAGATGATGTGTATAGGACACAGGCCTCTAGTTAGTGGGACTGGTAGTAAAGAGCTGGCACTCATGGAGGATGGAAGCCTTTTGGGAAACATGAAGCCAAGCAGAGTCACTCAGGAGGAAATTACGAATAAATGGTGATCACTTCACTGCCACCACCTCGGACAAGGAGGACTCGCTCTAGTCCCTCGGTGAGCACTTCCAGGAACTCCATGTCTTCAGAATTTGTCAAGGAGACAAAGGCAGAAGAAGAGCACACTTTACAACCTGTACCATGATAATCAGAGTTTATCTGATTACAAAGCTAAAAAAATCAACATGCTTTTGTTAATTATTGCATACTCAGAATTGGAAGACTATACTTTGTAATTCAGTTTCACCCTGTGAATTAATCCAGGGATCTAGTCCTTTTGCATATGGAAGGATTTTTCTACTTGTTAGATTTTTTTTCCTAAATATTCTTTTTTAAATAGGGAAAACACACAAGTAATGTGTAAAATATTATGATGCAAAATAAGCCAAAAAAAGGAAAAGCCACAACAGGGCAGCTCATTAAGATTTCTAGAGAGAACCCAAGTTTTCTAAGTGAAGCTGCTCAAGAAGAATTTTTCTGCCAGCTCTTTTTTCCTTTTTAAACACTCTCTTCCTTAATGATACTGGTGGGAATGGGTCAGGTGTCACCACTGCAGTGCTGAAGTGGTCTAAAAAAATCCTGGGTTTTTTTCCTTTTATCTCTTTTTTCCCCTCAGAGGGTCCACTTCAGCTGCTTCTCCCCTAATGCCATCCAAACGAAAGAGGCTTTGCAAGTGGGTAGAGCCTGAAAAGGAGGAAGGATATGGGTATTCTGTCTCGGATTGTCAGAAAGGGTTCCATACACAGTATTAGAAGTAATGTTGCAAATATACCACTGAAAAGCAGTCTCTTTAGGGTTCAGAGAGAACATATAACCCCAACTCCTTAAAAGAAGATTAATCTCACTGCTTTGTAAGAATCCCTGTATAATAAGACTTTTAAAAGTCTCCCTCTTCAAGAGGAAAATTTTGGCAGGAGCAATCACTTTTATAGCGGCCAAGTAGTCACATCTAAAAAGCAAGCTAAGCCCGGCCAGTGTGGCTCAGGAAGTCCTGGTTTGATTTCCCATCAGGGCACATGCTTGGGTTTCGGGCTCTATCCCCAGTGGGGGGCAAGCAGGGAGCAGCCAATCAATGATTCTCATCATTGATGTTTCTATCTCCCTCTTCCTCTCTGGAATCAATAAAAATAAAATAAAAAGCAAACTAATATTTTCCCTACTGGTAGCTCCATTCCTGGAAAGGATACAGTTTTCATCACCCTCAGGGTTTCGGGGTGGCCCTGGCATATTCAATAAAACCAACTTTGCTTCATGGGACTTGTTAACTATGACCTCATTGAGCTTCACTGCTGTATGCATCCGCCTCACATTGGACTGGTCCCTGCAGAGGGAAAGGGGAAGAAGGGGGGAGACAGAGAGGTGGTTAAGGCAAACAGAAAACCAAGCATATCAACAACCTTACAAAACTTGAGATATGGAGCTTTTTTGCTTTGAGTATGAATGATATAATGAACAAAATGATTTCCTTATAATATTAACACCTTGGATTTTCTCATTCTATGTTTGCTTGTTTATACCAGGAACACAGTATAAAGAAGAAGGATGGTTACCTTGTGTACAGTGTTAATTGGTAGCTGGTATGCATAGGCAAACAACAGAGAGATGGCTGGATTTGGGGTAAAATGAACAGATTTCATCCTGTGTATCCTGGCAAAAGCGCATCTGTGGCACTGATTAGGATACTGTTATGTGATAAGCTTGTGAGCTGGAAAACTTACGGACGCATGTTAAGCAGGTCCTGGAATCCTTCCATTGACTTGGCCCTTTGCCCCCGGGATGCCATGTACTTGTCTTTCGTCCAAGTCATGTGCACCTTCTCCTGATAGGTTTCTGTCTCTTCATCCTCATCAGAGCCAATGCTGGTCAGTCGTAGCATTGAATTCCGGTCTTTCACCAATTGTGCCTGCGGAAGGCCCAACTCACTCTTACTCTATTTTGAAACAATAATGTGACTATAGTGGAATAACTGATAAAGTGAGAAGAAAAAAAATCTGTCATCTCATAAAAACAATACGGTATCATTCCTTTCAGTGACAGATTTCATAGGCCAGGATTAGATTACTGCCGCAAGGTCTCACCTCTCTGTCCCGCTCCGTTTTGGAGAGTCGCATGTGCCGGAGCATCTGGGACCTTTGCTCCATCATCAGAGTACGTTCATAAGTGTAAGCTGATATGTCACTGTCATGCTGCCACATATATCAGAGTGGGGAGGAAACAAAGAGAAAGCAGGATGAACCACACATTTTC